CTTATTTCTCGTTGCGGTGGTGTTACTTAAAAGTTTAAATGCGCAAGAGGAAATTATTACAGGTGAGTGAAATTGTGAAGTGTCAAGTAGTTTTGAAGAGAAGCGTAATTCACTCGTTACTTAACAATTGTTTTACTCATAATTGTATACAGAAAAGAATAAAGCGTATTTAAAGTTTTGCGCCTTTTATCTAGGATCTAGAAAAAATAAAAAGTTTTGCATATTATTTAAGATTCTCACTATTAGAATATTACCGAAAAATACCTTGTTTTTATGAATAAGAATTAGATGTAATTTAAATAAATAATCGTTATTGCTCCGAATGTAAACACAAACTGAAATGTTTTGCTGTGTCAATATTTAAGTGCATTCTGCACCTGGTGTTATTTAATGACAAGGATACGAGAGTGTTGATTTATTACATCCAGTCCCATGCAATCGTCGTGATTACTCTCTGTAATGTCAGATCTTTGTTCGATGTATGTTTTTTAAAATTCTAAATAGAAAGTAGATTAAACTTTTACTCTTGACTAGAATTAATTTACAAAACTTTCCTTTAATAGTACTAGGAACTTAGACAACGCGAAAGTTACACGATAATTTGCGATTACAGTTTCTCTTACTTATTTAAGAGTTCTAGTCATTCATATATTAAATTGATATAGAGATGGATTACACATTGTGCCGAATATTAACTAGAAATGTGAAAAAGTACTTTTGACTACGATTTTCGATAGTTGTTTTCTTCAGATATATTTTAATGTTTCTGGTAAGTACGTGATCGTGTTGTTGCCAGTGGAAGCGGTAGTGGGGCAGAGCGCGGAGCTGCCTTGCAACATCACCGCGGAGAACGAAGGAGATGTCCTTAGAATCATCGCCTGGTACAGAGACGGCTCGCCCACGGCATTCTATAGGTGAAAAAAATATTTTGGTACCATATCATAATTTATGATCGCTTCGATATTGGTGAGTGATCGGTAAGGTTACCTGGGCCTTTGAAAATACAAGAAGCAGGGTCTATGTATACTTAGCAAACATGTAATCTGCGGTCCGGCTCAGGTGTAGGTAGTTGGCTTCGTCACGCGAATCACTTGCCGCCGCTCGTGTCATCCGTAATACGATACAAGTGAACACTCACAGCTAAAGTACACACTTGATACACCTCGCAACTCGCAGTGCAATTGTATTTAAACAGCGTTTTAATAACAGAATAAGATTATAAGCTTGCACGAGGTACTTCACGTCAATAGTGGAATGACGGATTCGAACCTATGGCCTAAATTTTGATAGATTGTGCCCTTAACAAATAGGCGCTGTAATACTGTTAGACACCTTTTTGACTAGTTTACTAGCTGTATGACAGTTAACAGTATTTCTATAAGAGGCCACATTGGCGCGGCTTGATGTTTCTTGCAAAAGGTGTCCTATACCATGTTATAATTATCATTATATTTTAAATCGGGCGTGGCCAGCAGTCGCGACCTGCGCGGCGACAACAGCGACGTACTATCCCCTGGAGGTCGCTTCAAGCTCATCACCTCAGAGGATGAGACTGAAGAGCGTCTACAGATCCTCGCCGTGCGGCCCTCTGATGCCGGACAGTACTACTGCTTCGCCGACTTCGAGTCGAGTCGGGCTCACAAAACTTATATCACATTGGACGTTATAGGTAAGTATTGTTATTCGAGACGAGAAAGAAATACCAGAAACAATGCGCAACACCTCATAGAACAATTAGTTTAGCTGTAGCTTATTACGTTTTTTAGTTAAAAATACGAATTGAATTAGATTGTTTAAAGGCTAATTGTATATAACTGCGGCTCGCTTATTCATCGCGAACTAAAATAGCGGTCCCGTAGCCGCTACGGCATTAATTGGTCCGCGAGCATAATGAGGAAGCTGACAGCGCCGGAACAATTCACCCCATTTACAGCCAATTACGCCACGTAAACATTTCATCACGTAAAGGTACCGCTTCATAGACTTTATGACCCAATACATGTATAGATATTTTACAACACTGCACTATTATGGAAAATTAAGAGGAAAAGATTGGTATCTCCCTAAAAGGTGATTAATTATATTACCCCTAAAAATTGCATTGAACTCTTTGTTAGTAATATTCATCGCATTTTTGTATAAAAAGATCTTCATGTAATTAGATATATCCAATGAAATCCTGCGGCTGAAACAAAATACGTCAGTGTCTGATTGCCGCTTATCTGTTCGTCTGGATTTAATATTTTAAGGAAAATAATGAAAAAATACGAATATACCGCCATAAAATGCTACTAAGGCTTTTGAACTTTATTTTTGCGATTAACTACATGAACCTTTTTGTCTATTACTTCAAAATAAGGACTGTCGAAGCTAAATTCTTTTGTATTGTCCAGAGCCACCTCAGCGGTTGTGGGTGATACACGAGAACGGCACACGCGTGACGACGGCGAGCGCGGGCGCCAACACCAGCAGGAACCTCGGCCCCTACTACATCGGCGACACCGTCCATCTCTTCTGTGTCGTCTTCGGAGGTATTATAATGGTTTTCTTACTTATGTCTAAAGGCTACTTTTGTTTTACTAGGTAAGCTTTTCTGTACCATCAGGAAATAAGAATTTGATGGATTCTGAAGAGCGTAGATCCGATTCGTTGACTAGCTATTCAAAATTCAGTATTCACTCCGCCCAGGAAATAAAAAAA